CCAAAAGCTCAAATATGAGTTTTTAAGTTCTTTTTAAGGGTGCAACACCAGCATAAAAAAAAAAAAAAAAGATTCACATGACAATGTTCACCAGACTGACCAATGAACAAAGAGAAAGTCTGAGGAAGATCTACGAAGGAGGAAAGTAAATTTATACAAACTGGGAAAGTCTTTTGGAGACATTTCCAAACAACTTCAGGTTCCAGTTTCATCAGTTCAGATAACTGGACGACAGTTGTGCAAGCTGTTTGGCTGTGTCACCATGTTGGCAAGATCTGGAATAAGACTGCTCAAATGAAAGAAAATGAGAGTCCACCACCATAAACAAACCAAGAACCACCAGGGCTCAGTCCTGCCATGAACTGGAAACCATCTGCATCGTCATGGACTTGAGAGGATGCCGACAAAGAAAGAAGCTCCTGATCCAAAAGGAACACCTTCAAACTCAACATAAATTAGCAGCTGCTCATGTGGACAAACCAAGTTGCCTCCTGGAGCGAGGTTTTATGGTCAGATGAGATAAAGCTTGAGCTTTTTATTCACAACGATAATACGTTTGTTTGGAGGAGGCAAAGTGAGGCCTTCAAATCTAAAAACACTGCTCCAACAGTCAACCATGGTGTAGCTAGCACCATGCTGTGGCCCTTTATATACTGTATCTAATAATTATATAAACACTAATTTTAAACACAACAGCCACTTATGAGCTCCCTCTGCGAATAAGAATTTCTTCTTCTACCCTTAAAAAAAGTGCAAAGTTCACCAGGCAGTCGTACACAGGCAGGAGCCCACAGGCAGCCACCATAGACAAATAGAGGAGTTGGGCTCGGAACCGTCAAGTAAGTGGACATGGGGGGGGGGGGGGGGGGGGGGATGTAGGATGCTTGACAGAAGCAGAGTGTTTATAAATGTAGGCAAACGTAGATGTTTAACAACCTGTTAAAATACATCAAAATGCAGGAAATCGCATCTACTTTATTCAAAATTTTCTGGGGGACGACCCCCAGACCCCGCCCTTCACCAGCCCACCTGCTATTTGTGTTCTGGCATCGATCGGTTTACAAATTAAGCCCTGGTCAGGAAACTACACATTTTAAAAAGACTCTTCTAATTCTGCCCAGAAGAGTGTTCAAATCCAGAATGAAACCTGCAGCTTGTGGTCCTGCTGCAACTTGCTAATGGACATTTAACCAAATATTAGTAGAGGTGTATGTATAATTTTGACTGTTTGGATTAGACAAAATACACATTAAATGAAAACTTGGGCACCAAATTCTTGTTTAAAATTGAAGTTGTGAGTTAAATATTTAGTCCACCCTGGAAAAAAAATGGTTCAATGAAATCATCACGAGCTGCAAATGAAAAAGACCTCCATGCTCATGATGAGTGGGTCTGAACGTCTGACTTCACTGAATTTGGTCAAACCAAAGTGACCTACGATGGGATTCTTCTGGTTTGTTTGCATGAGTTACAAGTTTGGATGTTCTGGATTTCTGGGATTGGACAACTTTCCAGTGGAAAACAAAGAAATATATTATATTTTTTCCTTTTCTCCTTTTTCCCCTTGTACCTCCATCAAAATCGGTTTTATTTAGACACCAGGGTAGTCTTACACGTTTGCCCTGAAATACAGCAGATTCTGTGGTCTAGAAAGAAATCATCAAACATTTTGAGATGAAACATCAGAACGTACAACCATCTGTTATCAGAACAAAATTCTTTGGTTCTTCATATTGCACAGAAGTCGAAGCGTCCACAGGGAGACAGTAGCAAACAATATAAATATATCAGCTGTAGGACATCATCTAATAAATACGACTCTGTCAATGTAACAACATACTGTGTGCATGACTGTAAGCTTAGCACATTATTTTAGAAAATATCTTAAAAATATAAATAATTTTTACTTTTGTACAATTACTGTGTGTCCGGGCTGCAGTTATACATGTATGTGCACAATATTTCCACTCTTATAAAACAAGATGAAGAACAGATAACAAGTGGGATTTTCACTGAAGCGCCGTTATTTTATGCAAAATTCACGTTGTCTGCTACAACTGCTTAATTAAAACTAAAAAAGGAGTTTTCAAAGAGAACGCTTCTTGATAGATTCAAACTGAAACAGACTTTCAGACCACAAACGGGTAAAAAAAAAAAAAGTAAAGTTTCACACTAAACGGTGATCACGTTGAGGTGCTCTCTCTTGCCGGCGGTCGGGCACACACACACGGGAGCAGGGACGAAGATGACGGATGTGACCTTATAGCGTCTGCTCGTGTAATCTGTGCAGTAAAAATGTCAACCTGGAGCTGCTGAACGGAAACAGACAGAAACACTTGATTCTGCTAAAGGTCAGACGTACGATAAGAGAGGACTTTTGCTACATAACAGTAAATACACTATATATGACAGGTAATTATTGCGCACACACGCTCACACATCTGCCTTTCTCTTTTTCTCATAACAACGTAAAATGTGGGACAACATGAACTAAGGCCAGTTTCAAAGAAGGAAGGTATAGGAAGCAGACTGTACATATTCTCAATCTCAACCCTTTGTCTTTGTATTATACCCCGTATATTTTCAAACAATGTTGGGAATGAATGTTTCCCTCTCATGCTGCAAAGTAACATCTCCTCCTAATGTGCCTCGTTACAATGCACTTTATGCTTCACTACTGGTTTGACAGCTGCAGTGGCTTTAAAGATGTAGCCAGGGCTGTCAGAAAAGGAGGTTCTTGCTTATAAAAATGATGTACTCGACTCCTACAGAGTCTCGTAATTAGATTATAATCTGGACTAAAAGAATGTATGAACTGTAAGAAAAACGTCCTCAGACTCCACTCCTTTCCCCACCTCTGGATCGCTTTAGTCGTGAGAGTTTAAAAGCAGACCACAGAAGTATTTCCTATAACCCACAAGTTTAGTGTTTGGATTATCTTCCAGTGTTCCTGCAGTTCTCAGTGTTTTGTGTGTATTTTAGGAAAGGCTGTCTCCTCTTCTGCTTTCTGTACTCCTGACGATCCGTTTCTTTTTCATATTTTTAGTTGTTGGAATGACTTGCGTCTCCCTGAAGTGGCTGCGGCTCCTGAGACATGTGGTTCCCCCGCCCCTCTGACGGCAGCGTGTTGTTCCCCAGCTTCTTTGAGAGGCCTCCCGTGTGGTTGGGGCCCTGCTGAAAGCTGGAGATATGGCCATACCTCGGACTGGCTTTCTCCAAGTGTCTTTGTGCTGCGTTGGTTCTGGACCCGTCGTGCAGATGTTCTTCCTCATCCGTGTCAGCGTCGATGAACTTATTGATGGATGAGTCGTGGAACGTGAAGATGTTGGGCAGTAGATTCTCTGGGCTCTTGCTGGGCGTCCTGCTGCTGGCTGTGGTGTAGGCGGACGTCGCAGGGCTCTGGACTGACGAGCTGTCTGAGCAAACTCCTTTCCGTGAGTCCTCACCACCTCTGACCTTAGCTGGGCGGCTCTTGAGTGGATTCTTAAGATGCGTGTTGTCAGAATTTGGATTCAGTTTGGGCGTAGCGTTGCCATGTGATCCTTCATGCTCATTTTCCAGAGTGGGCTCCAGGCCCGGGTTGGCACTGACCCTTCCCGGCTTGTTGCTGCCGGGGCTCTGGGAAAAACGCGAGCTCTCAGGAAAGTCTGTGGCGCAGCTGATGAAGCTGTCGATGCTGGACATGCTCTTCATGTCTGTCACCGCCTCTGCGGTGCCTGAGTAGGCGTCATTATGGATGCTACCCATCTCAAATTCACTTTTCTGTTTGCCTGTTTTGGGGTGCAGCGTCTTTTCCTTGCCATCGATGTCGGGTTGTGACTGTGTCTTGGTCATCTTGTTGTACACCTCTTCAAGGTTCTGTGCGCTGAGATGCTGAGGGCTGCTGGAGGGCTTGGCCTTCTCCTGGTAGTTTGACTCAGTGGTCTTGCTGGGACTGGTTGGTGATTTGATTTTGGGTGTCCCTCTGTTTGGAGACAGGTGATTATCGTGCACCTTTTCCCTCATTTCATCATTTTTTTCCACCATTACATCCATGAGCTCCACACCCCGACCAAATGCGTCTTTAAGGTTCATAGAGACGATGCTACCGTTTCTTTTGGCCCTCTCCAGAGCTTCTCGCCTTTTGATGGCTTTCTCCTGCCTCTTTTGCTCTTTGTAGAACTCGGAGAAGTTATTCACAATGATGGGGATAGGTAAAGCTATGACCAGTACTCCTGCGATGCAGCACAAACCTCCCACTATTTTCCCCAACAGAGTCTTGGGGTAAATATCTCCATAACCTACCGTAGTCATGGTTATGGTGGCCCACCAGAAGGAGGCAGGGATGCTCTTGAACTTGGTGTCTTCTTCATCCTTCTCAGCAAAGAAAACTAGACTTGAGAATATCATGATCCCCATGGCCAAGAAGAGGATAAGCAGTCCCAGTTCGTTGTAGCTCCTCCTAAGGGTGAAGCCCAGAGACTGCAGGCCTGTGGAGTGACGAGCCAGCTTCAGAATCCGCAGAATCCTCATGATCCTGAAGATCTGAACCACGCGGCGGACGTTCTGAAACTGCAGCACGCTCTTGTTGGATTCAGTCAGGAAGATGGTGACGTAGTAGGGCAGTATGGCCAACAGGTCGATGATGTTTAGAGGTCCCTTAAAGAACTTCCATTTGTTAGGGGAGGACAGAAAGCGGAGCAGGTACTCCATGGTGAACCAGGCGATGCACACAGCCTCCACGTGCGCCAGCTGTGGGTTGTCTGTGGGCTGGCCAAACTCATCTGTGTCCTGCAGCTCAGGGAGGGTGTTCAGAGACAAGGCGATGGTGGACAGCACGATGAAAAGAATGGAGATGATCGCAAGGATCTGGAAAACAGAAAGTAAAATACAGCTTAAAATGCTAAAGAAGATAGACAACTCAGAAAAATGATGTAACGTGATTAGTCAAGACAGATTTATTTATATAGCACATTTAAAACAGGAGCTGTTACCAAAGTGCTTTAGTGATATAGTGGTTAGTGTCTTATTGTGAGATCAAATATGAGCGTAGGCTACAATTTAAATTCTCAATACTGGAGGAACAGCCGTTTGAATGGACAGTCATGGTGCCTTCAGGACTTTCGTAATTCGAGTTATTTTCTATGTATAATAAATTTTACATTTTTAGCTTTAGGTAAAATTCTAAATAAATTTGGAAATAAATTTAGAAACAAAGACTTATCACTTACCGCCTAAAAAATGGCAACAAACATGTTTTTCTCTGGTAATCAACAGCTGTTCATGTGAGTTGAGCCTCATTTGCTCTCCTTTTTTAAACACACTTTGTTCCAGAGTTTGTCAGAGGTGAAATAAAAAGTTATGTATTAATCAGGACAATCGCACTAATGCAACAATCTTTTTGTCCTCAGAAGTAATAATTTCCTAATTCCAAGCTTTAACATATATTTTTAACTTGACACCGGAACATAAAGCAGAAGTTGAAGCCAAAACAGCATGAGCACCCCCTGAACGCCGGCTGCTATAAATTTAAGTCCATGTAAACAAACCAAAAAAATCTTTCCTGCTTTTAAAAATAAAAACATGCCTCATATGTTTTTGACTTTTGTTATTTAATAGTTTTTTTTTAACAGTATGTTTAAATGCTATTTTTAAATACATTTAGTTGCACATCTCAAGTGCATTTCTAGGTCTGAAATACATGACAGTGCCCAAAAAACAGAATATTTTGGCTTCGGTTTTAAACAACAAAAGGAAGCAGAAACACTTTTTCCATCATTTTTATATGGTTTCACTTTAAAGGGTTAAAACTTGTAAAGTCACAAGTTTCTCACCAACCCCAACCTCAAAATCCAGGATGGATGTCTTGCACATACAAAGTGGTGAAATCTGCAGTAATAAAATATATCTACACTTCTCTTAAGTTTGAATTTGATAAAATTAATTGCACTCATACTTTACAACATTTCTTTGTAAATATGTAGCTACAGTATTTGAAAGCTTAAAACCATGTAAAAAACATTATGATTGACTTGCAATGTTAATAATAGTTAGCATGTCCACTGAGCACAAAAGTTCTTTACACAACAGGCATAGTTTGGTATAATTTTACATTAAATGCCAAATTCAGTCTTATGTGTGACACATTTAGGAAAAACTGACACAAATGTGTGATGGTTGCTTTGATCAAACAAAATTAAGACCTTAAATATTAAAATAATGCACTGAATATACTTCTTGATTAAGCACAAAAGCCACCTGGTTTGTCTCTGTAGGAAGATTCAACCACTTTTGTTGTAGCTGGCACCACGTTTTATTCTCAGACATTCAAAACCTAATTATTCAGAATTACAAACACAAGAGACTTCCAGTGGATCCTGGCAGTTTATCAGCGTTATAAACAGATCTCTTGCTTCATTAAAGGAGTGATTTTCCTTCTTTGCCATTTACATTTTTGGAAGTGGCTAAACGTGTCTGCCAATAACCGGCGTGGCTAAAGTTAGCAGCGCCCCTGAACTATATGTTGAAAGTCATATTGCTCTGGGAAGTACAACAGTGCTTTAACAAAGTCAGAGGAAAGTCAATCCCCTGAGAAACTTCCTTTCAAAACAACAAAGTGCTGCAGCTTCATCTGTGACATTTTGTGTTTCAAAAATTCCAAGTGAAGGTGTTATCTGCTCAAGATTCTCTATTGGCTTTGTGAATTTTCTGAACAAAAATAGGTCCAGAGATTTCAGAGGCATACATATATTCACTTTTTTGTGTGAGGATGCTGTTTTCACTATAAAGTCTTTTTTTTGTTCTCAATCAGCAACATTCCCTCCCACTTCAGAGAACTAAATACACCCAAAATATGTTGTACAAAGCACAACACGCAGGCCAGTGAAGACCTTTGGAAAGGTTAGCAGCCCACTAATGATCTAATCTGCTGAGTACAACAGGGTCCGGTCATAGTGCTTGGGATTAAGAAGGCTGCACACAGTTGTGGCTGCATGGCTGTGCCACACCTATTATTATTGTCCCACGCTTACTGTGAAATCCAACACAAGGTCACTATGGAGGCAGTGTCCCGGGCGACTGGTGAGTAGGATTATTCCCTGGCACCCCGTCTCAGCCTTCATAAGCTTTAATTAATGTTGACAGGTGACTCCTTGTACACCTACCTTGGCCTTTAAAGAGATGGGGGATTCAAAGGAATGAAACACTGCTGTGGAGAAGATGAGACCCAACTGGGGAGAGACTTGCAGAACAAAAGGCAAATACAATTTAAAAAACTACCAGCCTTTACAGGTAGAACCAGTAATCTGGTTTGAATTCCAGTAAACATCACAAACCTTAAAGGTCTGGAAAAGAGTAGCATCACTGATGAATATTTGTTAGATCTTGGTGCTGCATGTCATTGTTCATAACATCTTAATACCTAGACTGGAATAGTTCTTTGGGATCAAATGTATGGCTCTGGATGGTTTAAATCCAGTTTGTTCATGTTTGCAATATGTCATCCATACCCTCCAGTGTTAGTTATGGTGTTCCACAGTTATTCAGTTTTTTACTGCTTTCTTGGGAAAATATAAAGAAACATGATATATTTCCATTGTTCTGCAGTGTAGACTCTTTTTGTCCATACAAACAGAATAAAATAAACCAGTAACTGAAGTTACAGACTTGTACCAAACATGCAAAGGCCTGGCAGACAGACAAGAGTCTACCAGTCATTTTTGAGCAGAGTTTTTCTTCTCAATTAGGTTTCCAGAACATTCTTCTTTGAGAGGAGCTAGTTAGTTGTACAGGCATCTGGTAAGGAGGCCTCCCAAGGGAGGTTTTCTGGGCATGTCCAACTGGGAGGAGACCCTAGGGAAGTAGAAGAGTCTTAGTGTCTTGCATGTGGAAAGAGATGGCTTTATGTATGTATGTACAAAGTATGTATGTATGTATGTACAAAGTATGTATGTATGTATGTATGTATGTATGTATGTATGTATGTATGTA